CTCCTGCAGTTTTCCCTTAACAAGAATATAGTGACCTTCTTTATCTCTTTTGATCATTATTGGTTTGAAGTTCACCTTGTCTGCAAATAGAATAGCTATTCCTGCTTTTTTTCTGGGTTCCTGTTACATGGAGTACAGTTTTCCAACCTTTGACTTTCAGTCTATAGATTTTCTTTTGAGTTAAATGTGTTTTTTCTATACAGCATATTGTTGGATTTTGTTTCTTAATCCACACTGCCAGTCTGTTTCTTTTGATTGATGAATTGAGACCATTTACATTAATGGTTATTAATGATATGTACTGACTTACCTTTGTCATGTTATTTTCCCACTGTTGGTTCTGTACTTCCCCTCTGTTTAATTGCTTACCTTGCTTGGTCCTTCTTTTCTATTGTTGGTCTTGAGATCCTGGTCATTTTTATCTCTTGTAGAATATCTTTTAGAACTCTTTGGAGGACTGGTTTTACGCTCATGAATTTCTTCAGTTGGTCTTTGTCATGGAAGTATCTTATTTCTCTATGAATTTTGAAAGATAACTTTGTAGGGTACAGCAATCTGGGTTGGAAGTAGTTTTCTTTCAGGACCTGAAATACTTCACTCCAAGTTCTTCTTGACTTGATGGTCTGTGTTGAAAAGTCTGCCATGATTCTAATGGGATTTCCTTCATAGGTGATTTGTTTCTTTTCTCTAACAGCTTTAGTATTCTGTTCTTTTGCTGAATTTCTGGAATCTTGATTATTATGTGTCTGGGTGTAGATTTATTTTAGTTATGGCTAATTTGGGTTCTGTAGGTCTCACTTATGTGTATATAAGGTTCTTGTCCCATGCTTGGGAAATTTTCTGCTATTACTTCTACAGATTGTCTTTTTATGTCATTCATATTACCTCCTGCTCTTTTGTTGACCCCTTCAGCCTTCTACTGTTTTTCTTTGCCTCATCTTGCAGCTGTTGAATTGTTATTTGCTGTTCCTTTGTTATTTTCAAGAGATCTTTTCTTTCATGATCACTCATAGCAATGTTATCTTCAAGATCTGAGAGTCTATCTTCCATTTTATTCAAGTGGTTCTTCCAGTTTTCAATGGAATTTTTAATTTCCTGAATGTCTCTTTGAATCTGTTTCATACATTCTAATTCTTTCCTATACTGTTCATTCAAGGTTTCCATCACTTTTCTGTGCTCCTCTATTTTTTTTAATCTGTCTTCTTTTGATATGCCAAGCAATTCTTTCATTATGGTTGTTAATTCTTTTTTTACCTGAGCAATTATTTCTGATCTGATTTCCTCTATACCCTGATGTTCTGGGTTGGTGTTTGGCTGAGATTGCATTTTGCTTCTTTTTTTTGTCATTTTCAAGTCTCCCTGTTTCCAAGCATTCAGGTTCATTCCTGAGATGGCAGCAGGAGGTGGAGACAGGGGTCTTGGGCTCCCAAACAGCTCACCAAGGTTTCCAGAGTCTAAGGCTCCTTCCTGTGGTGGCAGCAGGGAGTAGAGCCAGAGGACCTGGGCACCTAGACAACCCACTGAGCCTTCCCAGTCCAAGAAACATCCCCAAGATGGCAGCAGGAGGACATGGCCAGAAGAATTGGGCTCCCAGCAGCTCACTGAGGCCTCCCGAGTCCAGGGTTCCTTTCCACTGTAGTGGGGGAGGCGGATCCAGAGGACCCCAGCACTCAGACAGCTCCCTGAGGCTTCCCGAGTCCAAGGCCCCTCTGGGTAGTTGCAGTGGGGGAGCATGACTGGAGGATCCAGGCTCACATGCAGCTCACCAAGGATTCCCAAGTCCAGGGCCCCTCCCATGGTACATGTTTGTTTTTTAGGACCCAAGAACATTCCACATTCTGTAACATTGACAACTTCCCTTGACACAGAAGGTACTGTTATGTACATATGGAGTCGGTTACTTTTCTTTGAGAACCATACCTATCTGAAATTCATAGGAAAGTTAATATAAGCTTGTAATATACAAGCTTACAAGCCTTACCAGTTTGCAATATACAAGCTGATAAGAATTGTAATCTTTGCCCAGACAGCGTTTAGAGTGGACTAGAAAAAGTAAATGAGTACACATAACCTTGTACTGTGTGGGGCCAGTGATAAGCAAGTTCACTAACTACTAGGAGCCTGAATGACTAACACACATCTAATCCAGATGAGGGAGAATCTGGGCTTCTTTGATAAGCTGCCTCTCCCATGCTCCAGCAGATTTCTTCCAGGGAGTTGCATGTGTACGTGTCCACTGGCAGTTGGCACGTCAGCCAGCATCATGGAAAGAAGTCTGAAAAATGTCCTAGTGGTCTCCTTTGGATTCCTTCTCCTCTTCACTGCCTATGGAGGCCTGCAGAATCTACAGGTAAGTGTGTATCTTGGTCCCTGATCTTAACTTCTGTATTTCTCTTGGCTTCCAAAATCTCTGTGGTCACCAAAAATAGTGAAAGGAGATTTCTTTTATATCAGCTCACTGTAGTATTTTTTGTCACCTCCTTCAAAATTATCTAAAACAAACAGTGGTTTTCACGTACAATCCTATAACGTTCAGTTCCTACTTACATTCCAACAGGAATGCACACCAACATGGTTTGTTTGACCGCTGGCAAGGAGAACAGGTCTTGAGGGGTGGTTTGATAGCATGCTCTTTGTCTGTCTTTGGATAGTTAAAAGAAATGAGAAAAGTCATTGTGAATTCTATGTTCCATGATTTTAGCTTTGTCATCCTAGCAGAAGTGTGAGTTATCAAATCTCACCAGAACTTTTAGATTCCAAGCCTACTTTAAGCAAAATTGTGAAATTTAGGGCCAGGGATATAGCTCAGTGGAACAGTGCCTGCCGGGCAAGTGGGAGGTCCTGAGTTTGATTCCCGGTACCCCCCCAAAATGTGAAATTTAATGAAATAATTGGTATTTTGAACTATTTATGGCATTTTCTTCTATGGGCTGATGAGCTAATAACTGCAAGTAAAACATTCAGGAATATCCACAGACCAGCTAGGAAGCAGGGCCACTGCTATCCCTACTGCTTTCATTGGCTTAGCATTGGACCCTGGGGATGGGCTTTCACATAAACAAGGATTTTTAGAGCTCCTGGTAACCAGTGAGTGTAGCCTCGCTCAGTTTGTCAGTCATGGACGAGAAGTAGGAACCCACTGAATGTGCAGTACTGAGCCAGAAAAGCCCACCAGGGGCTCAGAAACAAAGGCTCTGTCCTCACTTGTACTCTGCAAGCACTCTGGATCTCCTCCTGGGCCCTGCTTCTGACAAGGCTTACAGAGCATGAGAGGACAGCAGTGATTCTTAAAATCAAGGTAGAGATGCACAGTCTCCTACTTCCCCACTGGGATGGGTCTGACATTTGGAGTCCTCACCCTCCCACCCCATGCCTTGTGATGTCACCCTCAAATGTCAGTCCTGCAGAGTACCTACTTTGTGTGGAGTTGAAGTGAGCTCATGCTGAAAGGGAGCATCCTGTGAGAGGAGAGTGTGATCAAGAGAACCTTGAGAAGGAGATAGTGGTCAAGGGTCACCCTCTGGACAAAGGACTTCGCAGGATGGGAACAGTGAGCAATATTTTCCTTGCAAACACTTCACACAGAAGGTTATCCTGTGGCGACATCAGCAGTGGGCAGGACAGCACCCCACAGCTTGAGGACTGGCAATCATGGGTCACAAGGCTTGAATCTGGCAACAGTTCAGCTGACTGACTGCAAATTGGCCCCTGCACTTGGAAGCCAGAGGAAGAGTTTAACAAGCAGAGCCTTAGAAGCTGCTGATGGTTCCTCCCCAGCTGGGAGAGTAAGAACAAGGGCTGCAGACAACTGTGGCAGACAGTCACGGCCTCTGTGGCCCAGCTGCTGGACAGCCTGTGGTCAGGAAATCTCTGAAAGCATCTGGCTCCACTCCAGCTGTGAGTAACTGCACTATGTACCTCCAGGGCTGACAGGACCCAAGGGGTAAGGAACAATTCCACCCATGCACCACTATAGCTGTGGTCCCAGCCTTATCCTGGCCATATCGTCCTACTCACTGACTCAGACTACAATGTATGTGAACATGTTTGAACTAGGACAGAGATTCCTACTATTCAGGATGGGCCAAAGCAGAAATGATGCACAAATGGACATGACTTCTGGAATGCTGGACCCCAACCCCATCATAGGAACTGCTTCCATGCCTCATTCAGACAGCTCTTTGAATGGCTTCATCCTCTGCACCTTCCAGTCCTTCTCTCTCCAAGCACGGCAGCCTAGCAGGAGTGCAGGGCCTGTCCTCAGGATCCTCCACCTGGCCTGGATTAGGTCGGCATCCTCACCACAGCAGCACTGTCTTCTCAGCCTTTTTGCCACAAGCCTCCTCTTTGTCATTTATAGCTCAGCATCCTTTAAGTCACATCTATTTCACTTCCCAATGATGCCCCAGAGAGTAGCTCTGCCAAACCAAGGGGCAAATGCCACACTGCTAACCTCTTTCTGTTAGCAGCCAAAAGCCTCTGAGGGCCTGCATACAAGGACGGTGTCCCCTGGGCATTGCTGGGGGCTATTGCTAGGGCAGCACATTACCTTCAGACAGTGACAGTACCCAGTGGGTATGTAGTGAAGGAGGAGGTCTTTACTGTTTGGAACCTTTTGGGGGCTTTCCTTAGGTTTCCCATAGCCGAGAACTTCTGGGGGTCTGGTGGATGCAGCTAATGACCCAGTTATCTCATACCAGGTGGGGATCCTGCCAGGCATGTCCTGTATAGTACCCTTCTGCACCCAATTGGCTTCCTTCTAGAGTGCCTCACCTCTCAGTGGGGCTGGCCCTGGTGCCCCTCCCAAGCAATGGCAGCCCAGAAGCAATGGCCTATTAGCCCCAGCCCAGTGGCACTGGCCTATTAGCTGGCTTTCCTCTCATCTTCTGTGGGTCCATCTGCTCCTGAAGGGAGAAGCTATTTTGACTTTTTTCTGTGTCACTAGTTTCTCATGGAGCCTCCAGTGGTAAGTGTCTCAATCTTGCTGTTGACTATGGTGAAGGAATGTTACACAGCTTATGCGATAGGTCTTATGACTTTTAAATGCATGCATACTCATCTTCGTGCAGGTATAGTATAGGTAGGCTTGCTTGGCACTCAAGCCCAGGTGCACAAGCATTCACATAGGTCTCAGCCACACAGAGAAAGGTATTTGCTTTTTAATCTGGCTCCTACTTTGGAAATTGATATTTCCCTTCCTTTTCAGCAGTTTGCAATCAGAACTGGTCATAGATGACAAATGTCCCCTGCTGATTTGCAGCACCCTGTAGTTGATAAAGAAATTGCAGTGCCATGAGCTTTTTCTCAAGACAGACTGTGGAAGGCAAGTTTTGTACAGAGTATCTCTTAACACTGGCCTGGCAGAACTAATTTTCCTATGCTGTGCTCCTGACAACTTGTGCTATCAATAGAGATTTCCAGAGAAACGTACTCCAGAGCAAAGTGCTCAATTTCCATTTTCCAGCTGAAAGTGGGGGATTTTATGGGACTAGCCTCTTTTGCCTTTGGGTTTAATTAACCAAAAAATATCGTTAGGTACCTGCTTTGGGCAAAGCATTGGGAGAGTTTTTTTTAAAACAGTGCATTTCCCCTGCTTCGGAAGGAATCATGATCTGACTGTAGCAGCCCAGATGACCACGAGCTGGGCAGAGAGGCCAGGGGACTAGGTGAGAGAAGAATCTCAGGACTGATCAAGGAAAAGCCCTCCCCAGGCTCTGAGTACCCTTGAAGAGGGACAGTCCTGAGAGGGAGAAGCACTCTCATCTAGCATGTGAAGGGCATGGGCAGCTCATGGAGGTTAGGGAAGCAGAGATCCTGGGTAAAGGGATACTTTAGACATGGAGTCTTGTAGTACTGCTCACAGTCTACTGCAAGACACCTTTTTGTTGGGAAACCAGGTAGGAATGAATTTTAATAGCGCTCTGGGCTGACTGTGTCTCCACCCTCCACATTTCATGTGGGGAAGTTCTGGTCCCCAGGCCTCATGGCCTCAGGATGTGACCACTGGGGACAGAACCTTGAAAGAAGTGATGAGAAAACCAGGGCCTTCCAGGTGGGCTCTAGTCCCAGGTGACAGAAGCAGAGGAGACCAGGACACAGGCATACGGAGGGATGACCATGTGAGACACAGGGAGGAAACAGTGTCTGCAAGCCAAGGACAGAGGTCTATGAGGGGTCAGTCCTAAAGACTCTGGCTTCAGACTCCCAGCCTCTGGAACCTCGAAAATGAACTCAGATGGTTTAAGCCTCTCGGTGCTGGGTTAGGGCAGCTCAGGTGGACTCCACACTGACTTGGGCTGGGTCCTGCTGCCTCGCTAATTGGCTGTGTGTCTCACTGCATGAGTCACTTCCCATAGAGACAGGATGAGTCTCTCATCCTTCAAAGGACAGTGGGTAGAGAGCTCTTGCTTCAGCATCTGGCACATGGCACCTTTGATACAGGAGGCTCTCTGAGCTGGGCTCCAGCCTCGGCCATGACCAAGTGCTGGAGGACCTATCTTTTTTCCTGTGATATCCAGCAAGCTCCTGAGCTTCCCTGGTGCCCCTCTACATCTGTGTAGTACAGAGAAGTGAGTACAAGGGGCAAGGACATAGGGTGGCGTGACAGAAAACTGTTGGTAAGGAACCAGCCCCTCCCTTTTCTGCCTCATCTTTTCCTTTCTGTCCTTTCTCCTCTCCTCTTTTTCCTCCTCATTACAAGGGAAATAGGAAGCAACAATTTTGCTGGGTTTCTCTGAGACAGAAGCCAGACATTGTGATTGCTCTTGCCTATCTGGCTCTGGATCACTTCACACCTGAACTATTACAGGCTTTCTGTAAAGATAGCATCAACAATAACTATGTGATTTCACTGCACATCACTGACAGGAGAAGTGCTTCCTGCTTGGCTAGAGGGAGTCCTCCTTGCAGTTCCCAGTGGCTCCTCCCTGCTAGCCCGCAGCCAGGCAGATTTCCCCAGAGGGCCAAGGACCATCTAGCACTCTCAGGGCTGGGAATCTATCAAGACACTTAGAAGCAGGAGGCTGCCCCTGCCCTGCCCACCTGTAGCAACTCCACTGCAGAATGGCCTGATGCTTGTGGTTCAGGACTTGAGGTGGCCGTGAGCTCTTGGGATCTCAAGCACCTGGCTATGCTCAGGTGGTCCCTGTCCTGCAATTCCTGTGCCTGTCTCCTGCTCTGATGTGCTGACCTTGTTTCCACAGAGCAGCCTCCACAGCAAGGGTGGCCTGGGGGTGGCAACACTCAGTGCGCTCTATGGTGCCGTTCTCCTGTCCTCCATGTTCCTCCCACCCATCCTCATCAAGAGGTTCGGCTGCAAGTGGACCATCACGGGTGCCATGGGCTGCTACGTGGCCTTCTCCCTGGGCAACTTCAAGGGCAGCTGGTACGGCCTCCCTGTTCTGCTTCCCAACGTGCTCCCAGTTGCCATGCATCCATCTGCAGTTTCTGCCCAATGCTCGCTGCATCCTGGGTTCTGCGGTTTCCCTGGCAGGGCTGATACATGGCATCCTTCCCAGTTTTCCACCTTGACTCCCACCTTTACCCTCTAGTTCCCCCCCTCCCAGTTCCCAGGCTGACCTCTTCCTGGGATCTGTCCTGGCCTCAGCTTCGCATGCACACCAGGTGCTTTATGACCCCCAAGAACCACAAGGAGGGTCTAAGCCAGACTGAAGTCTGTGTCCCACAGAGACGTAGAAGGCCTTGACTGGTGATAAAACTGATGACCACTGGGGGCAGGACAGATGTGCCCACACCAGTCTTCTTTCAGGTACACCCTAGTCCCTACCTCAGTGCTGCTGGGGCTGGGTGCCGCACCACTGTGGTCAGCACAGTGCACCTACCTCACGGTCCTGGGGAACTCGCAAGCGAGGAAGGCGGGCAAGCTTGGCAAGGATGTGGTGAACAAGTACTTCGGCATCTTCTTCTTCATCTTCCAGTCCTCGGGCGTGTGGGGCAACCTCATCTCCTCTCTGGTGTTTGACCAGACTCCCAATAAAGGTAAAGGGAAGAGGGAGAGCAGTGATGTTGAGGAGGAGCAGACTCTTTATGGTGGCTGGCCATCAATAGAATTTGAACTCTGAGTATCCACTCACCTTTATCCCAAAGGCCCTCAGGCTGCTTGTGCTGTGGAGTCAGTTGGCCTCTGCTCTCCCAGAGACAATTGGGATCTGAAGATAAGCCTCTTTCATAGGCATCCTGGATGAGCAAGGGAATCCTTGTGTCAGGATGTTGTGGGCAAAGCAGGAGCGCCACGGTAGGACCTGAGTCCATGGAGTTGCTGCTGTCCCTTTGAGACTGCATGAGAATGGGTTTGCCTGGTTTATCTGTACTAAATTTATCTACTGCCCCATTTTTTATACATGTGTTAGTCCCTTATCATGCAACTGGGAGAGCATTTGATGGCTGACCTCTGCCTCCCTGATCTGGCACAGTCTCAGATTTAAAGGGGGGGTGGGTAATGTGTCACACCCGTACCTTTGGGACTACGTTGAGGATTTAAGCCAGAACCACAAGAAGCCAAGCCCTCAGTTCTGAGGGAGACCTTCACAGTGGAAGGGTCAAGCTGTTCCTTTCCTTCCTGGCACTCCTCTGTGCCCTTCCAGGCAAAGCCTCACCCTCAGGACAATCTGAAGGCACACCCTCCTGCCCTCCTTGGTGCTGGATACTTTTGCTTTATAATGATCCAAGCACGTGCTGATCCTGCTTGTCACACCAAACTCTGAATATTCTCTCTCTCATGATGCCTTCCTCTCTCCAAGGCTGCACACATGATTCCGACTTACAGTAGTTCAAACTTTATTCTTCTAACACATAAGGAAACTGGCATTCATTTTCAGAAAAGGTTTTAAATCACCTGCCCAAAGCTGTGGAATTGCTTTAGTTGAGTCTAGAAGAGAACCCAGAGCTCCTGGCACTTAATATAATGCACCTTTTCTTTATGACTAATTTTGAAAGGTTGAAAAATGTTAGTTGTGTCAAAAAAGTAGTATAACAAATAGCATCCAAGCCCATGTTTATTCTCCTGTGAATCTTTGCGGAATGCTAACTTGATTCTTACCTCCCAGACAGAGTGTCTTACAGCCAGTCTTCAGCCTGTGCTTAAGGGTGAATGTGTCTAGATATTCCGGGTCACAATGACCATTGCGACATCTTTCAGAGGCCTCCCTGTCCTTTACGCTATTATTTCTGACCTCAGATCCCCACATTCTATCAAGTCCCCTGTGTCCCACTTAACCCGTTTGCTTCTGACTTTACAGAATTCCTGTCAGAGGACCAGCTCATGTCCTGCGGGGCCAAAGACTGCCTGATGTCTACAGCAGCCACCAACAATACCACACAACCTTCCCAGAAGCTGGTCTACACATTGCTGAGCATCTACACAGGTACGTGCCTGCAGCTTCCCTTCCTGGGCTGAAGAGGGCTGGCTCCAGCCCTGATGAGTGTACCTTCTTCACCTCTAGCCCCTGATGGACTGTAGGGCAGAGCCATCCACAAGTGCTCCCTGCAAAAGCCAACATGGTGGCCCACGGCTGTCTAACACAGAGACTTGTGACAGTGTCAGCATTTCACATTGCTGGAGTCCAGCACAGTTGCTTTTAAACTCGTAAGTTAAAAATTCTGCTCCTAAGTCATCTCAGCCACATGTCAAGCACTCAGGGACTGCTGGTAACTGCCATGACAGACATCACCACAGGGAGCTGGGATGGTGGTAGGTTGATTGTGCCCAAGTCACTGAAAATCCAGTCTCTGAAACTGCCTCTTTCCTCTGAAGAAAGAATTGGAGTGATTTAGGCCAAAGAGGGTAAGGCCTGTGGTTCTCCATCCTTGGTTGTCACCCAGTAGCTGAAGGTGTGGGCTTTGCAAGTCCATGAAAATAAGGTGGCCCAAAGGAACTTAATTGTTACAATGATTCTTATTCTTGGAGGTGCATTTTAATGAAAAAAAATCTATGTTGATAGTTTATGCACTACTTTATTTATATTCATGGATTCATTACTACTTTGAAGGAGATATATTTAGAGTTCTTAAAAATCTGTTTCAAAAGGTGTTGAGGTGTTCTCTTTGTCATTTTGGGGTGCTGGAATTCATGAAGGCCTTGGATAGCTCCTCTTGAACAGCAAAAGTCTCAAACCTGTGAAGTTGGGTATAGTAGGCTCAGCTCCATGAGAGAAGCAGTCAGGAAGGCTGATAGTCTACAGAGTTTTGTTTGCACATTGGAACACAAGAATCCCCAGCGTTCAGATCCCTGTGTAGTCAAAGGTACTACACATGCCCATGAACAGCCTTTCTAGCCTCACAGAGAACACAGAATCCTTGCCTGAGCCTCTGAGCAATGGGCTAGGGCCCCCGTGACCCCAGAAACAAGAGCCACAGAACGTTTCACACCTTCAACAAGCACAGAGTCCAGATGTGGAGGCAGAGATGCACTCAGCTAACCCAGGAGGTTGCTGAACTCTGGACAGAGGGCCCAGTTGGGGAGGCACAACAGATGCCACATGGAGAAGACAGAAGGTAACATAGGGCCTAGAAGCCAAGAATGCAGAGGACACACCTGTCTGTAGCTTGTGCTGTTCCTCTAGAACTAGGGTAGACACTGGGGCCAAATCCTGGTCCCTGCCAGCCTTTATAAATAAAGCTGTACTGGAACTTAGCCACACTCATCCATTCACACAGTCTGTGGTTTCCCACTGTAAAGATAACATGGAGCAGTTCCCATAGGAGTGTACCATGCCAAAGCCCAGAACTGTTCCTGGATGGCTCTCTTGTGCAGAAAGACTCTGCCTCCTCACCTCAAGAGCACTGTGGCTTCACAGTCAGAGAAGTCTCTGTGGCTATATGACCAGAGGCAATGTGGCTGGGCTTTACTACATTGTAAAGGGGGTGGGGTGGGGGAACATTGAGGTCAGGCTGACTCCCCATCACCACATCCATGGAAATGTGGGACCTGCAGGGAAAACACAGATTCTGGCACACAGAAGATTTAGAGATAGCTGGAAGTCAACCACAGCCACCTCATCATTGCCTCCCTTCTGCTTGTGCCTCAGTCCACTCCCTTGGACCTCACACACCACTCTGCCAACCTACAGTGACTGGGCCACCCATGGATTCCCTTTGCATATGTTCTGTAGTGTTCCAGTCCCATGAATACACTAGGTAAATTTTGATTCCTGGGAAAACCAGCAGCTGGTATAATATGGGGAAATGTCTTATTCTGATTGTAGCTTCCCTGAGATATCTTATATGGCTTCCTCTTTTAAGCAAGTTCATGCTACCATAAAGAAAAATGTCAAAATGGAAGAAAATGAATTGAAGGAACCAGAACACCAATACTCTGGAGCACTTTCCCAGAATTTCTGGGCACTGAACTCAGAACTAAGTTTCTTGCAGAGTTCTTGTCTTCAGAAGAATGTAGTACTCAGAGGACATCACCCTGTTCACACCCCTGGAAGGTTCTGGGTGACATGGCACCTGGACATACATTGTCATGATGATGGAGAGGTCTGGCTTCTGTAACCTCTCAAAAGCTCCTTCTCCTTGACTTCCAGTCACAGGGATCCATTCTATTAGGGTGCTCCAAATATGAAGTCCCTACCCAAAGGACAAGCATGAAATAAGTATTGTCCATGCTCAGTGGAAAAGACACATGCCTTTCCCATGGGGGCTACATACTACCATCTTGTGGGGTCATCGCCTGAACAGTTAGGAGGGCTCACCAGCCCCATGAGCCTGCAGAGTCATCTGTTCATTAGGCTGAAGGACATAAGGAGAAACCTGGAAATGACCACAGCAGGCACTGCTCAGGCCTCCTAGAATTTAGTGAATCTCATTCAAATCAATGACTATGTGTGTGTCAGGGGGGTATGTTTAGAGGGGAAGTGGCTGAGTGACTGAAAATAAAGCTTGGAAGTAGCAGAGCACTTTTCTTGGTAGAGATGCACTAATGAGAAGGTTTATGGTACGGCGCCAGTATTAGTTTTTGCCATTTTGCAAACTATCTGGACAAGAGCCGGCTTTGTAAAAAACATCACAGATTCAGGAAAACTCAGCTACTGTAAGAGAGCAAGTCTTCCATGACATGATGGTCCCACAGAGAAGTCTTGGTCATACATGACAGAGAAAAGATTAAGCATGGTTAGTGAGAGGAGAGAGAAAATCAGTCACATCTTAAAAACTGGGATTGAGTCATTGAAAATCATCCTGTGCAATTCTGACCAGGGTCAGGAGAAGAGGGAAGGACCCAAACTGTCTGCAGAGTCTGTAACACCTGAGGCAAGGTGACCACCACTGCCAGAGAGGAGAGAAACAACAGAAATTTAAAGACAGCACAAAAGACACTTAGACGCTATTGAACAACAAAGAAGGAACCATCTGCATAAACATTAGCTCTCTATGTACAGAAATGAAGATGGATCAGATATTAAAGTGAGTGGATGGTGAAGGTGGAGACTTGGTCTTTACATTTTTGAATTATGGAAGTACAGAACAGGGTGAAATTATGTATATAATATATAACTAGGGTATTATATAGGCATATAATTTCACCCTTATATATATATTCAGTATATATAAATATATATATGTAATGCACAAACAATCCATTCACATGAAAGGCATGCAGGGCAAAGTACTCTCTCACGTCTTGGCCACCCTGTTGTGCCCCACAGACCACGTCTGTCTGCCGCATCTTCAGCATATATGGACATACATGGACAAGCCTCTATGCCCCACCTTGTTAAGAACAAATGGTAACACTTTGTTGCTCCTTCTCTTTTTATCACTTGTTCTGGGGGACTTTGCCACCTTAGGATATAAAGGACTTTTGTTTTTATTTTTTCAGGTATACAATATTCTACTGCAGTTGGTATATACCCAGCTGAGATATACCAGTTTCTACTGAAGGACCCTTAGACCAATAGATCTGGGATAAGCAAAAGTATAGCAAATGGGACCTGCATGGAACTCATTATCAAAAGAAAGATAGAAAGAAGGATGGGGGAGGAAAGGAGAAAGGAAAGGAAACAAAAAGGAGAGGAGAGAAGAGAAGAAAGGAAAGAAAAGGAAAGGAAAGGAAAGGAAAGGAAAGGAAAGGAAAGGAAAGGAAAGGAAAGGAAAGGAAAGGAAAGGAAAAAGGAAAAGGGAAAAGGGAAAAGAAAGGAAAGAAAAAAGGAAGAACAGCTGCCTATTGGTAAAAATTGCTTCAAAGAATAGGATAAGAGATCTAGAGCCAGTGGCCAAGGATACTGAGCACCTTTGGTGTCTCTTGTGCTGTTGAAGGCAACACTGGCCTGCTATAGCCCATGAGAACCTAGGGGTCAGATTAATGTCAGGACATGTGTAGGGTCAATGAGTGTGACTTTCTATTTGAAGTTAAAGGCTGCAGCCAGGCATGGTGGGTCTCACTTCCTCTTAGTCTGGGGTGAGGAAGGGACTGGAGCAAATCAGTGAGGGCCCTGCTGCCCTGGGTACTGCTAGCACTAGAGCCTCTGCCTCTGTGTTCCCTGCAGGGAGTGGTGTGCTGGCGATTCTGCTCATAGCCATATTCCTTGAGCCCATAGATGACAACCCACCAAACAGAGAAGGGGAGAAGTCATTGCCATTCTGGTCCACGCTACTGTCAACCTTCATGCTGCTCAAAGACAAACGTCTGTGTCTGCTGATTCTGCTGCCTCTATACAGTGGACTGCAACAAGGATTCATCTCTGGTGAATACACAAGGGTAGGAGAGAAGCAGAAATTGGTGGCTTATGCAATGTACTGTATGGCTTCTGTACCATCTGTGCCTACACATAAAGAAACCCCCCGGGTGTCTGGAGACTACCTGCCTACCTCCCGGCCAGCTGGTGGGAATGGCTCCTGGTTCCCAGCCTACAGTGGTTGAATCCGTAATTTAAGAAGTCAGCTCCTGTATACCTTCTACCTCCCATGACTTCTCACCTCATGCTTGGTGGCATCTTCCTGGGGAAGAGTACAGCTGTCCTCAGCTCGCTGCTTGTGATATTCACTGTGTTCTGCAGGCCCATCTCTCCCTGCATTCTTACTGCAGTTAAAAACATGGGGGACATTAAAAACATGGGGGACATTAAATCCATGGATGACATTGACACTCACTTCTACTCTACTTTTCAAATTACATGTTACCATCTAGGAATCTATGAAGGCTTCCAGGCATCAGCGCCTGTCCACTCTCGCACTCTCCCTTGATAGCTGCCTCGCGCAGGTACTGCCTGACTTCCTTGTTAGAGTGACAAGCCATCTCTTGGCTGAGAAGCACAAAACTCATGGGAACTTGGTGGCCACTACTCCATGAGCTGCACAATCAGAACTCCCTGGCAAGCTTTCATCACAGACTTGTCCCTAGCCCCTGTCTGCCCAGCTCATGACCAAGACAGCATCTGTTCAAAGGAGCCTCAGTGCTATGGACTCATGGAGGCCTCAGCCCTCTGTCAGAGTCAAGATCCTTGCTCCCAGCTCCTAACATGCATGAGACAGCTTTGAAGCAGCCACAGAGCCAGATGTAGGCTGGACAAACCACCTGTATCCCCTCAACCCTGGGTTTTACTCCCTCCTTTCTGTCCTTACAGAGGAAATTTCTGCCACATCCCACCACTCCCAGGTACAGCTGCCAACTTAGCACAATAAAAGCCAGGCTTCCCAGTCTAATTGAAATTTCAGATCAATCACAAATATCATTTCAGACAAGTGTGCTCTCTGCCATATGTGGGTGTCCTGGATTTTACTTAGCAATGCTACTGCTAGGACAGAATTGACAGTCTTGAGGATTGACCAAAAAATTTGGGAGGCATTTAGACAGGCCCTTCCATCAGACAGCTCTTGTGATTCCTGCCACAGCCAGCTGTCTAAACTTGGTCAGTTTCTTGTTTCTCACCCTTATTCTGGGGTCTGCCTCTATTTTGTGATGGTGGGAACCTGGCACTGAGGCTGCTGGGAATTTCTGTGGCTGTCAGAGTGCATTTATTGCCTTCTCATCTCTATGATGAAGACCTCTTCCCTCTCAGCCCATCTTCTTTTAACTGTCTTTAGTCCCAGGGAATGAGAAAGTCATCAAGGACAGTCCCTATCAGCTTGAAGCCATGCCCACTGAACTGAGTGAATAGGAATTGTCTCGGGATTCATCTAAAACATATAATACTGTTAATGTATAGTACCAAAACTTCCTTTCTTTGTGTGTGGTACTGGGATTGAACCCAGGGCCTTTGTACTGAACTACAACCCCAGAGTTTTTATTTTCTGAGACAGGGTCTCAGTAAATTGCTACATTGCCCAGGCTGGACTGGAACTTGCAATTTCCCTGACCCTGTCTCCCAGAATGCTGTGATTCTAGGTGATCATATCATCCTCATATTTTTTATTATATCACACCTGTGTTGTACCAGAAAATAACAGACATATTACAACATAGGGCAAAGAATACATGGATAATTGTGTCCAGATATCTGTTCCAACTGTGTCACTTCTGTTCTGACCTCAAAGAGTATTTTCCTGCAAATATCAGCAGTGCTGTCCTGGGCTGGGAGCTGCAGGGCTGGACACAGGTTGCAGAGCAAATGATGGGCCAGCTGCTACAGGGTTCATTTTTTGATGCATCAAACAGCAGCTTTAGACTGGAGCCCCAGCGAGGACAGCTGCACCACTAACACGCTCCATGCTTCTCTCCAGTCCTATGCCACCTGCGCCCTGGGAATCCAGTTTGTGGGTTACGTGATGATCTGCTTCTCAGCCGCCTCCTCATTGTGTTCTCTGCTGTATGGGAAGATCTCCCAGTACACAGGCCGGGCCGTACTCTACGTGTTGGGTAGGTAGGTGGTGCCCACTAGGTTGGCAGCACAGGGTCTGCTGTCAGAAGGCAGAAGTATCCACTCTGGGGGCCTGGGGCCTGTGGGATGGGGGGCGGGGGAGTGTGGAGTTAGCTGGCCACATGCACTCCTATGCCTACTCACGGATAAGTGCCAGAGATGCACCTGTGTCGTCCTCTCTTGGGTTACCCAAAGGGAGCCCTATCCAAGCAGGAAGCAAATGAACAAAAGATGGTTTCCCCCAGGCAGGTGTCTGAGGCCCTGGACATTGCAGGCAGGGTAACTGTCACTGCTCACTGTCCCTTTTCCTCCTTCTGGCCCAGGCTCAGTGACTCACCTCTCCTGTATTGTCACCCTCTTGCTGTGGAAGCCACACCCAGCCCAGATGGCTGTGTTCTTCATCCTCCCTGGCCTGTGGGGTGTGGCAGATGCTGTGTGGCAGACACAGAACAACGGTGAGTGCCCAGCACTGGGGGTCAGGGGAGGAGAGCAGGCAACCAACCTGCTATCAGAGGCCGGGCACAGAGGCGGGATGTGCGCAGACCAAGTGCTGCATGGGAAGCGTATGCCCCAAGGGCTCCTCCAGACCCATGATGCAGAGGGGCACTGTGTTCCCAGGGCCCCAGCCAGAGGCCCAGCTGGGCCTGACTGTCTATATTCATTCATCTGCCTGTAGTCAAGAGAACACAAAAAACCCATAAAAATGGAAAAATGAGTTTATTTACAGTTTGACCAAATTGAGGGAGGGGAGCTACTCCATCCCCCTGGAATGCTCAACTCATGGGAGGGGCAGAACAAAAGCCAGGAAATGTGCAGTATAGATTCAGCCCAGGCCCAGGACATGTCAAAAATCTATTTTCTCTTGGCACCTCCTGGGTCAGGGCTGACTGATAATCTCACTCCCCATAGGAGAAAGCCGGAGAAATGCTCCAGCTCTAAAAATCTTAATCTTTAAAGGTCCATTTCAAGTCTTGGTTTTGACTTGGGAATGAGGGTGTCTGTGCAACACTGGGTGCAGGAGGAGTGGGACTCACAGAGTGGACCGGAAGACAGGTCATCCCAGGTCCTCTGGGACGGAAGGTTGCTGGAGAGGGTGAAGGGACACGGTGGGGGGCACCATGGGAACAAAGTGCTCCTGGTACTGGGGCAGGACATTTGGAGGTGGCAAAGCCAGGCACAGCCCATGATGCAGCTGCCCAGAGGAGTGAGACCCCTTGAGCTACATTTGGGGATCAGTTGGATGGGAGGAAGCTGAAATTACTGTGCTAATGGCAGGAGTCTCAAGCTAGAGCTGCCGCCTGCTGATGTGTCACCAGGAAGGCAAGGGAGACCCGCAGCGAGAGGTGGCTGGAGGACAGGTAGGGGGATGCGTGAGAAACACTGTCATTTCTGGACCTGCAGAACCGACTGCTAGGACGGGGATGGGGTTGGAGTTGGGGTGGCAGTGTGCCAACTTGTGGGGGCTGCGTGGCTGTTGTCTACAATGACAGTGGCTCAGAGAGGCTTGAAGGAGGGTACTGGGTGAGAAGGAAGTGGGCAACGTGTGTGCCGCAGCTGTGGGAGCACAGGTGTCAGGGATGTGCATTTGAATAGTGGCTGAAACGATAGGGATGGAGAAACCCTTAGCCCTGAGTTTCCCACAGAGCTCACTTAGACCCCAAAGGTGTCTGACGACGAGGCAGGCAAATGCTCCGCACCTGGCAGGGCTTTGTGGGACAGGATTGGGAGTCGCCGTGGGGCTTTCAGGGGTCCCCTTGCAGTGGATGTGGCTCAGAAGAGATCCTCTTCCCTGAGACAGCACCACTCTGTCTTTAGCCAGGGAACACTTAGTGATTAGAAACTGAAAAAAAGAAAATCCACAAACGAGATACAAGACAGTGTCACAAAGAATGGGTGGCTGTTTTGCTTCCCCTCTACTCGCGTATAAAAAAGCACACATTACCTACAGACCACGGACTAAACTCTCCGGGACATTTTCTCACTTACAACCCTATTGTGCTGCCTATCAGCACATTAGCTGAAAACAGTATCTTTAAAATGACCTAATGTAATTGGGTCTGAGAGCTTTGGGTTTCACAATCTTTTCTACCACCTCAGTAATGCAAGTGACTTTAGCAAAGATCGTACCAAAATGAGGAGCGTGTGTTTGGCTTGGTGCTGTAATCTGTTTTACTTGGATCAAGGTTGGTAGCCTGGAATGAGTAGATTGGAATTATTCATAAGCTAGGCTGCAATACTGCTTAATGAAGAGATGACAAGAAACTCACGCTAGCTTTTCTTAGCAGTCCAGAATTATAGTTATCAGCACAACATGTTAGCTAGGAATCATACACACTTTACCCAATACATCAGAGAGGATTTAGTTCAACAACCTATGGAGGTCTGAGATACCCAGCATTTTGTCCAATGTTCTAAACCCGTATGGTACCCCACAATCTGTGACATAAACTGATTTCTCTGAGGTCATTTGAAATATCCAAAGTATTTATAAAAGTAAGGAAAGAAACTAGGATAAACAGTCTCATAATACCTCATACAATAGTTCTCTAGATGTTTAAAATGATTGCAGTAAAAAAGTTCCTTTGTTTTTCTGAGATATGAATAATTGTTTTAACCCTCTCTTTATAGCAAAGAAAGCCTTTGTTAACACTGTGTAAGTTACTTAAAATCCAACAAAACATGAATATTCAAGCCCGATGAAAGACTTCAACAAAGAATCCCTTGAATAAGGAGTAAGGGATGCTAATTTTAAAAGAAATTATTTGTCTTTTTTATGTACAAGTGCAAGTAAATTTTTTCAAAGATTTGAAAAAAAACAGTAGACAAAAATAGTGATTTTTCACACATCTAAGACTCTCTGTTTTAGTAGAAGTGATGTTGAATTCCCCAAACCGGCTCTACTACTCTCTTAGAATTCATATTGTGCACCTCAGCACATCAGTAAGGTTTCTATGCTTTATTTTTTAAAAAAGAACTGCAAATTTTGTGTATCGTTGGCCGTATCTCAAAAAGAATGCTATCTTCTAGCCCTCTGTCATGTTCCAAACAGTGTATAAAAGGCCAATGACCCTGGTGGTAGAAGAACGTACCAGCAGTCAAGGAATATAGAAAAGATTAGAGTTATTGAGGCCAGAGAACATTGTCAAGAGGGACAGTCAGAATTTCCAAGAAAGGAGCAGTGCAGTTAGGGTGAGAGATTTGTATTGTATAGAGGGTGGGATGTGGGAAAAGCAGTCTGAGCAGCAGACTTAGCTGTCTCAGGAATGCTTCTTCCAGGAAGCCTGGTTTCTGAGGCCCCTTTAGGAGCACCTTTGTTGTTTCCAAAGTTGTACACTGAAATTGCAAACTGTCAAGGCCTCTCTCTTGGGCTTCACAAAAGGCTCTTCAGACTTGGATAAAGCTATCTGTATGCCTTAACTCTTTGGGAAAGATGGGGCATTAGCTCACTGGAGGGAACAGAATGAATGACCTGTGTTTGTTGTTATCTTGTGCTGTTTGCAGTCAGCATTAGTGCGGTGCCTCATGACTGCTACCTAGCGTGTGCTGGGCAAGCTGTGTCAGCAGAGAAATTTGAGTGCTAAGAATTTTAACCCTTTGCCACAACGCCCTCTGTTCCCTGAGCATGTATTCTTCTTTAGGAAAACATGTGACCACATACTTTCCTACTGAAGAGAACCTTGGAGTACAGTGACCCGCCCTTTCAGCCATGGCCCTTGATGTGAAAGCAGGGTGTCACCACTGCACATGTCTCTCCCTCCTGCAGCAGGACTGTGATGTCAGTGCCTAACGCTCCCCGCTCCCTAGGGACTCTGCAGCAGCAGATCTGTGCAGGGGATGCATCTGTACTCATCTGCTCATTTACTCTACAGCTCACTGAGGGTGGGCACAGTTGCCATAGCAACCCTCACACATCAGTGTACTGCATTTAAGATTCAGAATGTCTGGTCTAAAAATAGCTCTCCCTTGTGAGCTGCTGAAAAGCCTGTGTCAGGCTCATAAGCACAGAAAGCCTGACCTCTCCTGAGTGTCCCTGTGCTTACCCCTTTTTTTCCAGCCAGACCTGCCAGCCTGCTCCTCCAGGTGCCCTTATTCAAGGACTGGAATCAGTATTCAGTGATCGCTTCCACCCTGTGCTCCCTGTAGGATGAGACAGGTGGGGGAGACTGAGAGCAAGGCTATTTTCTTTTTAAATAGCATTTTCATTTGGAGTGATCTTAGATTTACAGAAAGTTGCAGGGACAGTGCAGAGTCCCACAGAGCCCTTGCTCTGTCCCCCAACACCGAGAGTCTTCTACAAGTTGGGGCCTCTGAGGTGGTGGAGTATCTGCAATGGCAGCTGAGGGGTCAAGTGTGGTTTTGGTGAGGAGGGATGGGAGGGGCCAGCTGTGGACCAGGGATGCTGAGAAAGCTCCTAGGGAGCAGACAATCATCTTCATAGGGCCAGATGCACCTGCTACTCTATCATATTATGGGGATGGGATTCTTGAAGCCCTCAGCTAGGTCTATCAGAACTGTTACCATGAGCAACAAGAAGCAAAAAGTGATTTACTTTCATCTAGATGCATTTATCAGACTGTATAAATTCACTAAAGCTGCCAAACAAATACTACCACCCAGACAATTTAAACAACACGTACCTTCTCACCGTCTGGAGGCTGGGTGTCTGAAACCAAGGTGCTGGCAGGATTAACTTGTTCTGAGGCACTCTCTTTGGCTTGAGGATCTTCTCTTGTGTCCTCACAGATCCTCCCTCTGTGAGTCCTCATCCTCACTGCATGTAAGGATATGACTTATACTGATTTGGTGCCATGTTTAACTTAACGAGCTCTCCAAAGAACCTATCTCCAAATGCAGGACATGCTGGGCTACCGAGTCAGGATTTCAGTGTAGGAATTGGAAGATGGGGCTGGGGAGTGGTGGTATGACTGCAGTCAGCACACAGCCTTGGGTCATTTCTCTCCCAGACTTTTAGACAGCCCCCTGAGAGGTCTTTAATTTCTGTCCTTTAACATCAGTTTCAGTCTTGTAAAGCCAGTTTAATGAGTACTAGTGCTGTAAGTCTAGTTTAATCTATACTAATCTTGTAAGATGAGGTTAATCAGGACCAGCCCTGTGAGGCCAGTTTAATCAGTACTATTCTTGTAGGACTAGTATAATCAGTAACTGTTGTAGTTTGTATCTAGATGTCACCCCAGACTCACGTGCTCATAAGTAAGGGTTTTTGGAGGTGGATTAAGGGTATGTGAATATGGATTAAGGATGTGATACACCAACTGGTTGAGCATAGTTCTGGTTATGGACTATTGGAAAGCCCACCCTGGGTGTGGGTGGCACCACACAAAGGTTCATAGCCTGACTGGGATAAAAGGAAAAGAAAGACTTGCTGCTGCTGCTGCTGCCTGCTGCCTGCTGCTTCCTGCCTGCCCTGCTATGGATTGTTTCTCCTCTGCCATGCCCCTCTGCTGTAACACCCTGCCTTGGAGCCAGCTGACTATGAACTGAAACCTCTACAAATCATGAGCTGAAATGAATTCTTCTTTCTTTAAATTGTGGGTGTCAGTTTATCTCAGCAACAAGAACAGTAACTAAGACAGTACCAGTCCTGTTAGAACAATTTAATCAATCCTACCCCTGTAAAGACACTTTAATCACTACAACTCTTCTAAGGACAATTTAATCAATACCAATCCCTTCTCTGAGTCAAATATAGGAGAATTTTGACCTGGGAATCCAGCTTGGTTGAACTCTTTTGCTCTTAAGTCTCAGGATGACCTTCAAAATATGTACAGTTACTATTTATCAGTTAAGAATGGAAATATTTTAAAAATTGAAACAAATAAAAATTTTAAAAACAACATTTAAGACACTAAAGAAAAAAAGAAGCTCTCAGGATAGGAATGAAAGTCCCAAACACCAGAATAGCCTGGCCTCGTGGCCATCTGAACAGAGATTGAGGTTTCTTACCTGATAAGACACTGTACGTGTTTCCGTGACATCCTCTAAATAGGAAAATAAATGTCCCCAACAAATGTCACCCTCTCATGTCTCTGTTCCTGGCTTGGAGAGTGGCCATGCTCCAGCTTATGCAGGCTGCATCTTCTGTGTCCCTCATCTGCACACATAGAGGTCCCTATACTGCCTACAGTCCAAGTCCCATTTCTGCTCCAGTGATAGTGCTTCACTGCCAAAAGATGGCACATAATTGCTGTCATCTGAAACATGAAATAATTCTGGGCTTTTTCCATTTCTGCGGCTGGAACCCAGGGCCTTCACACTGAGCTACACCCCTATTTAAAAAAACCTTTTTCTGAAACGGCTCAAACTTGCATTCCTTCTCCCTTGACCTCCCAGAGTACTGGGATCACACGCATATGTGCTACCATGCCTTGCTTAGTTCTGTGCTTTTTAAAGAGAAACATGTCTTGCTTTTGTTGAGAGAAATAAGCAGTGGCAAAGCTGCACCATGTTCAGCAATAACAATTTAGTAGATCACTCTTGAGGTTTTGTGTAACATTCTCCTGCTGGTCTCTCCTCCACAGTGCTCTATGGAGTTCTATTTGAGAAGAACAAGGAAGCAGCCTTTGCCAACTACCGCCTCTGGGAAGCCCTGGGGTTTGTCATCGCCTTTGGGTACAGCACCTTTTTATGCGTCAGTACCAAGCTCTACATTCTGGCAGGAGTCCTGACTCTGACCATGGCGGCTTACGGGACTGTGGAGTGTATGGAATCCAGGAGCCCCACCCAGCTCTCTCCTGCAGGAGGCAGAAGCCAAGTAGATGAAGAGGAAATTCAAACAAAAATGTGAAAGAGACTCAGCTTGTGGCTGAGGATCTCAGAAAATATCAGCAAAGGGGTTTTACTTGAATATGCCTCAGGTATATACTTGATTCTTCACAGCTATTTTAGCAGGACAGTATATTTTACTTTTTATGTAACTTTTTTCTACTCTATAAATTTTCAGTTGACTACTCTTACCAGTAGAGATCAAGAGTATACAAAAAATATCAATTTAATTTCAGATGTGAAAGAAATACATTGAAATTTGCCTGGAAACTTGGGTGTACCTTGTTATTGTTACTTTTAAGAATCAGAAAGATTGCATAAAATGATGTAATCTAACATAGTCATTTTACAAAGGACTACAGTTTTAAGTTTCTAACACCACAAATTTTACTAACAGATCTAGACAAGAAAAGCAAAGTTAACAAAGTCACAGAGTAACAAGGCCATAGTGGAGATTTCGGAAATTTACAGATGGTATGTTTCTAAGGAAATGCAATTATCTTGTAGACTCACTTTCTGGACAAATCCTGTTATCCTAAAGACGTACATGGACCACATAACACATATCATCAAGCAGCTGGGCATGGTGATACTCATCTATAATCCCGGCACTGAGGGAAGCTGAAGCAGGAGGACTGCAGTCTTGTGCCCAACTAGGGCAACTCAATGAATTAGTGACACCTTGTCTCAAAATAAAAAATAAAGAGAGTTGGAGACATAGATCAGTGAGTAGGCCCAGAGTTCAATCTTAAAAAAAAAAAGAATTAATAAGTGACTAAGTAACTTAGCATTTTATAGAAGTTATTGAGAATGATTTTATATGTAATACCTTCCACATTCAATCATGATGACAAAGTTAGGCATATGTCACATGACACATGCCCATGTACATTCCCTGACAGGGTCTTTGCCATCCCAAGCAGTCCCTTCCCATCCTTCATCTCCCTTGATGGCTCCTGTCCATAGTGGTGCTGCCCAGACCTCTTCTTCCCAGCCTGTCTTCTGCCCTGGGGCTCTCTGCTCTCTGGGCTTCTGGTGCCTCTGGCCAGTCCCTGTCTCCAGCATGTCCTTCCCTCCTTCCTCCTCAATTGGTGCTCCCGAGTCTCCTTCCCGCCTGTGTGAAGGAAGACTTCTGTGCTGTGCCTTCTTATGATTACACTCAGGGGAACATCTGCTCCAGCTGTACCTGAGCTTCCCATGTCATCCTGGAAGCTGCCAATGCCTGTTGAGAGAGGAAAAGGTATCGGTAGTTCAAGGCATTATTAGTCCTTTCCCACCTCCCTATGGAGTCCCAGCCAAGCTCTCCTCTGTTCACTCACACTTCTTTTCACTACTTCTCTGCAATGGGTGCTGGCTTCTGTCTGCAGACTCAATGGTGAGCAAACTCAGGCATGGACCTTCCTTCAGCAGGGGTCAGCCAAGATAGTGGACAGGCAGGGATCAAAAAGACATAGCACTGCAGCTGCCACAGGGAATGTCTTGAGGTCTCTTAAGTCACTTGTCCCAAGCTGAGCTTGGCATGTTTCTTGCTTACCGAGTTCTCCAGTGACCCTTGGTGTCTGTGATGCCAGCATCCCTCATGTCACCTAGGCTCACCAGCTCTTTCCTTTTCCTTCTGTCCACTGTTCCAGGAATGTTCCTGGGAGTGCTGTTCCCATTCTCTGCCTGTGGAGCTCTGCTCACTCTGCCACCTTTTCCCAGCAGAGGCCTCTTCTCTGCCACGAGAGATCCTCAGCAAGAAGATATTTTAAAGCTATAAACAGACCACTTTGCTCCTGCAGCTTGGGCCCTGTGAGGGGTCCTAGTCTAAAGAGCACTCTCTGGACTCCTGACCAGGATGTTCCAGGCCCCTCATGATACAGCCCGAGCTGCCTTCTTATGCCTGTTTGGGCCCAACTTTACTATCCAGTATTTCTCTCAGACTGCTTGTTCTTTTCCTCGCTGGCCCTTAGCTCCTCTGCTCTCCTGTCTCCATCCAAATCACTCCAGCCTCTCAGGCACAAATGAGGTTCCAGGCCCCTGTGAGGTGCCAGTCACTTATTACAGCCTTCAGGGACCTACCTCACAAATTGTGATCATCCTGCTCCCTGGCTTTGATGGTACTTTGTGTCCCTTCCACCTCACAGGCTGCTTAAAGTTATCCATTTGAGATCCCGACTGTCCTCATACTTCTCAAATCATGCAGCTTGGGTCATTTCAAAAAGAGTCAGAGCTTGATAAATATTTGCATAAAAGCTGTGTTAGTTACTTTTCTCATCACCTAGGCAAAATATGCAACATCCAAAGTTAAAGGAGCCAAGGTTTAGGTTCATTTCAGTTCACAGCTTATGGAGGTTTCAGTCCATAATTGGCTATCTCACAGCAGGGTGACAAGGCAGAGGGTCATCACAGAGAAACAGTCCATAGGAAGGCAGGCAGGAAGCAGCAAATAGCAACAGCAAGCCTACTTCCTTTCTGTCCCTTTACATTCTATCCAGGCTATAAACCTATTGATGGGTGCCAGTCATACTCAGGGTGGGGCTTCCGTTATCCATACCCTTTATCCCAGTACATTCACACTCTAATCCAGCCACCTTTGAAACTCCTCATCTATGACTACATAAGGCTTTGAGGAAGAAACAAGCTGTCACAGAAGCCCTTCACAAGAGACAGATGACATGCAACATCCCCTCCAACTCAGAGGGTAGGGTTTGTAAGTGATGTGCTCTTGGACACCAGTGGTGTGAAATGAACCTGACTCTCTTTGGGCCCCTACTCTACTCCGGCACGTTGAGGATAGAGCACCCTCTCATCCAGCCACCCTCATGTCCCTGGTAGGACTTTGCAGGATGGCTTGGAGAGACAGGCCAGACCTGCCCCTGAGATAGGGAAGGCAGTAAGGAGTGGCCCCCAGGAAAGAGCAGGGAGGGGAGTCAGGAAGTTTGTATGTGAGCTGGGGAGACTGCTCGGGAGGTATGTGCAAAGCAGCGTGGGGTCCTGGGATTCAGAGCCCGGAGACAAGGGCTCAACCAGCCCTGATTTTTATTATACTTTATTTATAGAAGGAGGCTAAGCAGAACCTAAGTTGTACCAACATTACTGGATGCTCTGCTCAGACACCTGAGTGAGCCATACGGATGAAACAATCTGGCATAGGGGTGAGAGTGGTCAGCTTTGTTGCTGGACATACTTCATCTCTCCATGAGCCTGGCAGATGTGGACAGAACTCTGGCCCATGGCCTACCATGTGTGAGGCCAAGCATCCACTCCTCAGTGCCACAAAAAAGGAAGATTAATTTCTAACTAAAATGTGAAAAACTTTCCATGTGGTTCCCTAACAGAGGCACATGGACCAGACACCATGGGCACTGTCCTTGATGGGTGTTTGTGCACATTTTTATGGCAGCTGAATAACGAACATTGGATACCACTTATGGGCTCACCACTGGACCGTGATTCTGGGGTTGTGCTCAGATGGGCAGATTACAGAAGCGCAGATCCTACATGTGTGGGGTGGACCATTTTCTGCTACATCCTCTAGAAGTCTAGAATCTCCTACTCCACAGCCTGGGCCAATTGCCTTCACAGTGCTGGCCCCCACCTGCATCTATTTGTACAGGGAGGTGAAGTGTTCAAGTTATTTTACTATATTGAAGGAGATGGCAACAAAATAATATAATATAAGACAGGTGTTAAAGGACTGCACTCATCGTGTTTCCATTACTGGGACAGAGTACCTGACACACAATTTAAAGAAGAAAGCTTTATTTTAATTCACAGACTCAGAGATTTCAGTCCGTAGTGGACTGGCACCAACTCATACATGTCGTGGTGTGAGAACTGAGCACAACTGCTGCACCCCTGGCAGCCAAGAAGCAGAGAGAGCAAGAAGGGAGCTGGAGACAAAGGAAGGGACCTGAGACAGGACACACCCTCCCCATCACGCCCCATGACCCACCTGCAACCGGGCCCCACCTCCTGACAGCATATCAGCTGGGGCTTCATCAATGGATGAGTCCACTGGTGAGGTTTATGTCCCCATGATTCAATTGCCTTCTAAAAGCCCCACCATCACATGAGACATCTGTGGGACACTGTAGATCTAAACCTTAACAAGGACTAAGGTCTTTGAGATTTCCTAGTCTCATGACCAAGCCAAAAACAGATTACTGTTTCTTTCCAATGCTATTTCCAGGCCCAAGTCTAAACTACTTCCTTTTTTTGTTGCTAGGCCCCAGCCCTCCTCTTTGCAGAATGTTCTCTCTAAGTTACCTGTCCATCTTCTCCCAAGCCCCAGGGGCAGATCACACAGTTGGAAGAGCAGCTGAGTCCAGAGTTAAAAGAAATTTTCCTCTTCCTTCCCTTTTCTCTTTCATCTCACTGGAATTAGCACTTTGAAGGGTCAGAGAATCCAGAAAGAACCCATGTAGTAAACCAAATGCAAGCCTGAGTAGGTGGGTCTTCAGGGGCAGACCACACACCCATGTCCCTGAGGCCCCAGAGCCAGGCTCTGCCATGTCAGCTCCACAGAAATAAAGAAGGCTGGTTACAAGCCTCTCTGGAGGGCAGAGATGATCACATCAGCCAGTGTGTTCTGGGAATAATGTCCTGCTGGGGAGGACAGAGCACCATGCTTGTTTCACCTGGTGTTCTCACAGCAAGCACTGACACTGGGAGTCATCACCAGAGAGATGGTAGGACACAGCACAGAAAGAGACCATATTTACATGCTGAGGTAGGGGAAAGTGAGGTTCTGAAGTTGGCATCCTTGGATCTCACACACTTGGTGGGTACAAAAAAAAAATGAGTGAGAGAAGCGAAAACCTGAGAGAGGAAGACTTCCAGCATGCAGTTACTGACAGTGTTCTGAGAAGAACAGCTCAACCATCATCAGCTTGGCAAAGAGCACATCACTGGCACTGGTGGCCAGAACAGCCTGATGGAGCTTTGGGAATGAAGATTTGAACCAAGAGGCTCAAAGATAGTAAAGCAGTGTAGATGGTGAGGATTTCCAGCCCTTCCAAGAGGGCTTCTCCAGAAATGAGAAGAGCCTGGTATGGGGTCAGGCATGGGTGCAGAATGGAAATACTCAGGGCTTGGGGTGGGTGGGCACTGGGTTACTGTAGTTCAAGTTACTCCTGTAATATTCATGAGAAAGTCAAAAGGAATCATTAAGGTAGATATCCTGTTCTAGCTCACACAGGAGCAGCCTCATTTCACCTTCCTGGCCTGGGGTGCTCACTACTAAAATGCCTGTTAACAATGGTGAATCCAAATCTAATCTTTAGCTC